TTTGGCGTCGATATTTTTATAATCTCCAAAGACAGGGAAATAAAATGATATTTTTGCCTAAAAATTAACTTTTGTAATTCTCCCGTCTTTTTATGGTTGAAAATTGAAAATTCTTTAATTTGTCATGGAATAGAGAATTTTACACGCTTGGATACGAAGTCATCGGCAAACACTTATACTTTTATGAATCAGTATGATTATATATCCTTTAAGACTTTGATAACCAATATAATTGTGAATGTATACATGTTTACTCTACATGTAACATTAAAGTAGCAATCTGACTTGCAATACACAAGGTATATGTTTTTTTTGTTTTGTGTTTTCCACTTTTCAATCATGAGAAAGGATAAAGTATACAATGGAATCATTATGTTGAAAAGTGAACTTCCAACAATTAACAATCTTAATATATTTTTCATTATTATGACAAAAATAAATTTGCTAAAAGCTTCAAAGAAAAACTATGACAAAATACACACGTATTAATTATTAGGTTAGACTGGTGTTATTGTAGTGGATGCATGTGGAAATTAAAATCCTTCGGATTTATGACATAAAAGAAGAATCTTCATCGTTATTCCATATATCGTGACCATATAAAACATCAATTGGATTAGGTTCTTTGGTTGCACCAGCTATATTTTTTTAACAGAACAAATGACATGATTGTTTTTTTAATTATTAAGATTTCAATACTAGTAATTATTATTCCATAATTTTTCCATAACCGTAAGCTAACTAACAATAATATCTTCCCTGAAAAAACACATAAACTTCCCAATACTATGATAAAGTTTAAAATAGGTTTTTAACAAAAATATTCACGAATTAACTTTTTACGACTACATGTACTGCATAAACCTACACACCCCGGGATACCAACATTGATTTGTGTGATTCAAGTAGCTAATTAAGATTGTTCTCCACATGGAGTGATGCGTGTGATGTCACCGTGTATATATTATTAATTTCTCACACTTTTCTTATCATTTCAAGTTGAAATCTTTCAGAGTTTTATCTTTGACGAGTTTTTGATTTGGCTAAGTTAGCTACATGTATTTGGAAAATACCCCGTGTCTACTTAATACTTTGTCATAGTTCATGGAGATCCGTTACATAATTATATTCCTTTAGAAATAAACATAATTATAAAATGATTAATTAAAACGAATATGAAAATAAATCAAAAATAGTCGAAACTGTAACATATTTTGAAAAGTTTTAATTCTTAAAAATCGCATAATGGATTGTTACTTGATTACACAACGACCGAAATCATAAAGTCTCGCAGCATGCATGGAGGTTCACATCTACTGTGTCAAATAAAAGATACACACACGTATTCCTCATTATTAACTTAAACACAAAGTCCATCTTTTTTAAGATGCCATAGTAAAAACAAATATCTTGCTTTAGGAACGGACAAATCATATTTTAAAAAACTCTTTAATTCGACAAAATTGTTGAAACTGTGAAACTGACATGATGTTTGATTTTTTTTTATTGACCAAATGTTTTTTATTATTATGTTAGGTTGACGTTTTATTTTCAACTGAGACCATATGCAATCCCATCAGAAATAATTATGGTTCCCTTTTCACCGACGTGTCCCTTTTTTTAACCAAGCTAATGTTTAAAGCTATTGATTTAAAGTACATTGGGAAATTCCATTATTGTATGACAAATATTCTACAAATAGAATTTGCATGGACAAGACTTTTGTGCGAGTGTGTGGCTAGTTAGTTATCATATCCAGTATAAAAGTTATCCCAAGCAATGGAGTATAACATATATGGCAATCTGGATTTCTTCTATCTGGCAGTAAATAGGTATTCTTTATAGCTTGCTGTTCGGTGTAAGCCAAGACTCCGTGTTGAAGGCCGTACTTTGACCTATAATTTTTCATTTTACAAATTTTGACTTGGATATAGAGTTGTCTCATTGGCACTCATACCACATCTTCTTATATCTATTCGCTTCATTGTGCTGAATGTATAAACACGCAGCCACGTCCGATGCCACATCTTCTTTACGTAAGCATATATATATACCCTTGCAACAACTCTTTCAGGGGTTTGATGGCAAAAAAATCATTTAAGTCGAGTTGCATTCGAAATTTCTGTTTCTTCATCGTGTTCTTCCTAGTCGTTCCACTTATTGAATTATTGTTGATTTGTTTTCGTTCCGAATATGCATGAACTATTTGTCACTCGACGCCAAGCAAATCCGTCAATCATATCCGCGCATGATATAAAATTAATCTTTTGCACCTTAAGATGCCGAAAACTTTGCAGTAGAATGTAAAAAATTTCTCATTTGTATTTCAAGGTGCATTCATACTAAAATTGTTCATTCTTTTTTATGTCTCAACCCTTCATGGAAAGCTTGTATTAATTCAATGGACAACCGACTGAATAAATCAATAACAACACTAATCTGTTCTATCACTCTTAACATGATCTTTCAAAGAATGTGCGATGGGTGCGCTGAAGGTTAGAAAAAGAGTTGAATACAAACGGTATTGAATAAAGACCACGAGCTAGTATTTGTCATAGAATGTGGACATACTGAGTGTTTCAAATCAAGAAAATAGTTATAGGACACGGTGGTACTATCTGGGAACGGAAAAAGTTACCCGAGATGTTGAGATACTGAAATATAAGCGAAAAAAGGTTAAGTTCCGCTTAACTTCTATAAAGGAATTTAGCCTAAATAAAAAAAAGAGTGTTTAAACAATCTCTGCAATTGTTTAGTCATGACACAGTCTTTCGAATCAACTTGTACTTATTATGTCTGCTAAAATGTAAAATGAAATTAGAAAAAAAACTTTTCCAAATGAAAAACTTTGGGATTCATGTCTAACATTGACAATATCACTTAATGATTTTGATGCGTCCAAAGCGCTTTTCTGTATTTACCTTTATTTTGATATCCAAAGTTATAACATACCATACAATTAATTGGTTAAATGTGTCTTCTTAAAACTAAGGAATATAAGTATGAGTATGATGGCCATAAAGTCAGTAGGACATACTCGTTTTCGAAGCAATAACATAAAGGTGTTAATTCTGTTTATTTATGTTTACCTTACTACCTTTACATATAAAAGATCATGAACTTGAAATAGATATGTAACCAAATTTGATTACATAATACTTTTTATTTATTATTAGTGGCCAAAGTTATGTATACCACATGTATTGAAGAAGTGAAATCAATTTTGTTTTAAATCGTTCTCAATTTTAAACTTGCAAAATTTGTTAGATTTCTTAGATGCATTTCGCCATCTTGCTGTTCAAAGATGAAAAAAGAAGCAAACATTTCACTAAGTTCGTTAATAGTTAAATTGAGTTAATATGAGTTTATAATTTTTCTCTGTACCGATGTAATGCATTGTCTGTATGAGAATCAAAATATATATAGTCATTCAACCAGACATGGCAAAATTCAATATTTTAGGTGGGCAGATTTCTTTTTTTTTTCTTTTCTCTGTTTTTTTTTTTTTTTTTTTTGTCTTATAAAATCAAATACTTCAATTTTTCTTAACAGAATTTGCATGTTTAGAAAAATGTTCAAAGATTAAGAAAGAATTTTTTACAATAGATACGCATCTCGTATAATAAAAACTAATTGAAATTATTATATATAAACCGTAATAATTCTAATTTGATTCTAAACTCGGTTTTCTATTAAGATTACCAATTATTATACTATTGGAATTAAGCGTGGATATCGATCATCGAACATTCAAAACCAGTTGTAATCCGATATTTAATTATTTATGTACACAAGTTGGCGTGCAAAAATCAACATGTTCCTCGGAAATACTGATAAACTCGTTTCCCTTTATAAGAAAATTGAGTTACCTCCCTTTTTTTGAGTACGAGTTGTCTTTCTTGACCGAACTAATAGTTCAGTATGTTAAATGCAGACTCTAAGAATCCAAGAAAGCTAACGCAACGAGCTATGAAGTTGTTCTAAGAATATTGATATTTTCAATAACATGTTAAAAGAACGCCATGTACATTATTTACATATGTAATATATAAATTAAGGACTTTCACTCAGTCCTCGGTCAATATAATCTGAACAGGTCCATATATAACGTATTGACTTCGTCAAAAGTCCATAATTGATAAATATAACATGCAACATTAAGGTATATAGGAATTTTTTTTCAGACACTTAATGTTTTTCAGAGACAAGAGCCTGTGATAATATAGTATACATCATATAAAAGCAGCATAAAAATATAGCAAGATTCCTGCCTTAAAAGAAATATGAGATACTTTTACCTCATGCCCATTAAATGCATACACAATTTAAAAATCATTTTTCAAAATTAAAAATTATTTAAAAGTATAAAACAATTACTTATAAGATCAACCTTTGTCAACTAAAAAAGAAGGGGGAAAAATAGAAGTAATTAAAAGTCTTAATATGCTAATAAATAATAAAAAAAATTAAACACTTAAGTACATTTGTAGTTATACATTTATCTTTATCCTCTTTAACATAAAATTCAATGTTTTTGCTAATAAACATGAAACGTCATCACAGCTCCTACTATAATTAAATTTCTCTTCCACATTCATGGTAATAAAAACATTATTTGATAGAATGGATGAATTAAAAAGTTCCTCTCTCAAGTCCGAATAAAAATTACAGTTCATTAAAAAATGTTGTTACAATGACGCCCCTTTATTTTTATTTCCCACTAAGAACAGAACTATTGTTATTATATCGCATGGATACGAGCAAGAACACATTGAATAAGTTAAAATATTAAAGAATATTTACTAAAAAAAGTTAAATCACAAAAAAATAGTTAAAAGCGGATCCGTGCTTTTCCAAAGCGCTTGTGGTTGAGGTGATAAGCTGTGTAGAAGGAGAAGTTTATATCATTGTGAAGAATTCGAGTAATCTCTTGTGTGTACCTGGCTGACTAGTGATTCAGATCTGGCTTTGCTATACGGTCTTCATATTTTTAAAAGTGAAACATACAAATATATTTTATTCATGTCCTTATGAAAAAAAGATAAGCAAAAAAGGGTTGAATACAACTTTCCAAAATGACAACAATCATGAAAGATACAAGCTTCAGACTATTTTCATATTTCTGACTTTCACTCCGGAGTATATAATTTTATGACAGGTTACCTCCTCTGTTGTAGGACATTCTGGTATTCGTTCAAGTAAGAGCCACTAAAAGTAGTTAAATCAAAAGTCGGTAATATGAAAATAATTCAGAAACGTCCAAAATCTAATTAATAAATTACGGAACGATGATGAGTTTCAATCGTATACATTATATATATATATTGGATTCTGTACAATGTATTACTAGTATTTTGATTTTCTTTGGTCGTTACATCAATTGAAACCCCGTCCTGTTTATTACACTATGATCTGTTTATACTGACAAGACTTTTGGAATTCTTCCCATGATATTTTGCCATCACCATCAAAATCTGTCTTTTTGATAATGTCTTTCAATAAAAAATCTGTCCATCGAATTTTACTTGCGTCCAGTGTTGTTTCGAGCTCGTCCTTTGTTATGTAACCATCTTTATTGGTGTCAAATCTCCGGAACGTTTCCAAAAGTTCAGCATCGCTGTAAAGAAAAATTAGGATCTTAATAAAATGAGATGTTGAGCATATTTAAATGAGAACGTCTAACATTATGATAATCTGAAAACGACATACGGTTTTCAGTAAAAGATAGTTTCTGTCATACGTCAAGCATGAATGAGTGGCCGAGTGGTCTAAAAGTAGTTCATAAACTGTATTACTAGCCTGTCAACACTGATCCACGCACGTGACAGGTGCGTTCGACTCCTATCTTAATTGGGTAGCAATACACAGTTAGAAGTTTAGTTTCGCATTATGGCCTTGGTGAATTTTTTAAATATAAAAGTTTTTGTACAATAAAATTGATTTTTAGATAATTGAAGAATAATATAGCCTTCTTAGTGGGTTTATTTGAACATTTAGATTGTTTTTAGCATGTTTAATAGGCCATTTTTCTGTTTGACAGTCCGTATTTTCCTATCCGTACCGCCTATAGGTCCATGAATTATTGTAGTGTTTATCAACAAAGATTTTGCGCTCGATCTTTTCAATTCAATTTTATGGAAAAACGAGCAGAAATGCATATGATTCTTTTTGGACCTCTTGATAGATATATGTCTATGGATTCAGGAAAGGTATCACTGTAATTGATTGAAATTTTCCTTTGGACCAAATTTAGAAATCAAATCTATGGAAGATTCTCTTTCTATAAATATACACATGCATAACACAAATATTAAGCCTTATTTGTTAGAAAGGAAGGAAAAGAGGGTGTTTAAAAATTATGAGTGTCAATTTTAAGTTTTTTTTCTAACTGTGTATTGCTACCTTGACTTCCTGCCGAAAGTCGATTGTTTTCTCCGTGCATTAACACCAAAAAAAGTATGAATGTTGTATTCTACAAATGTATGTAATTATGGTTGATGTCAAAATGTATGCAATTATATTTTGCAGATTCACTTGTCTACTTATGATTTTGTATTTTAGTAACTTTTAAAAAAGATATGTGATATGTTTGGCTCCGTATCCCTACAAGTATTTTGTTTATTTCAAGTCCTCCATATAAAAAGACTGTAAAATTAAGCAACAACGAAAACGTTTAGAGGCTAATTAAAAAATATCTTAACATATAAATGAATTGAAAGTCGTAAGGTTACTTGCCTTATTGTCTTGGGGTCTCTTTTGGTCATTTCAGACATAAATTCATAGATTGTTACTTTTCCGTCAAAATTCGTGTTTACATCAACAAACATTTGCTGAAATAATAAAAAAAAAGAGATTGCAAAATTTATTTCATACAACAAAAATACAATTTACGCGCTCGTTTTCGTACGTATAACATTTTCATGATGGTAAAAGAAAAAAAGATCCAGTAGATACCAAAAAACCATCCAAACTCATAAGTCGATGACAAACTCACAACGCCATGGTAAAAAAAACCAAAAAACGACCGAAAGACAAGCAGCAATATTTAAAACACAACATAGGGAAACAGAAACTGATTCTCATGAACCCCACTAGAAACCAGGGGTATTTTATTAAATATTCCATCTATTGGAGTTCATAATGCTCAACAAGTGACGGAAGGCAAACCCGAGTTATCTTTCTTCTCATAAAAAATCGGGCATATTTAATAATCATGTATAACATAACGAACGTGGGACTTAACATGTATATTATATTGAAGGATTTTTAACAGCGAGAATATATCTATAACGAATTCTAGTTTACTCCTGTGTGTAACTTCGAGTATTGCACGCATTGGTCAATTGCCACTGGACGTGAAGAAAGTAACAACCAATCAAGCATTGATCTATCTCCTCGCCTTGCTCATAAAACAAGGAGACAACCTTAGTCTAAACCTCTTCAAGATCTTTATTAATAATCTGACAAACTATTTAAAAAAAACTCTGAGGACCCAGTTTCGATATATAATCAAGATTTACCCTGTCTTATGTATGCTGACGATATTGTTTTGTTTTCGACATCTCCCAACGCATTGCAAAAAACGAATACATTGTAAAATTACTGCAATGACTAGTGTTTAAGTACTGATTTTTTGTTCTTGCATCCTTCAGTGAAAACAAGCATGCATGGAGCCAAGTCCGGTCTGTTTTTTCGTAAGATGTTTTCTGCTTTGTATCGATCTGATGAGTTAAGCCCTTTTCAACCGATTATTATAGTATTATATTATTATATCACGTCCCAGCTTAGGGGGAGGGTTCGGCGCCAGCAAACTAATTTAACCCGTCAACATTCTATATGTGCCTGTCCCAAGTCAGGAGTCTGTAGTTCACTGGTTGTCGTTGGTTCATGTCTGTCATATTTGTTTTTCGTAAATTGTTTTAGTAAATTAGTCCGTTAGTTTTCTCAGTTGAATTGTTTCATATTTTTCATGTCGGGGACCATTAATAGCCGATTATACGGTATGGGTTTTTCTCATTGTTGACGGCCGTTCGTTTGCCTATAATTGCTTATTTCCACTTCATATGAACTTTGTTGGATAGTTGTCTCATTGGCAATCATACCACATCTCCTTATTTTATATGTATTCGATCATACCCATCCTTTTATACAGTTGTGAGATATGGCAATGTCTGCTAAATTCAGAAATAGGATTGTTTCTTTTGACCATATTTACTCTAAATTACTAACTAAAAAACTTCATACTAAATTCTGTAAATTTATTCTTGGGACTCCAAAAAGAAGTACTAACTTTGCTGTGTTAACTGAGTTATTAGGAAGACTGCCAATATATTTCAACATGATAAATGCAATGATTAAATACTACTACAGATTAGAAAATTGGCTCTAAATTCCCATTGTTATATAATGCCTTTTTAGAATCTAAGAAATTGTACGAGTCAAAGAAACCGTCGTGGTACATGTCATCTGAGGAACTTTTTTCACTGATCAATAATTGTCTAATATCCTCTGACAGGGGTAAACCAATTGACAAATTGAAGAAAGACAGAGTTTAACAAGATTTCGCATATCTCCTCACTATTTACCTATAGAGAGAGGTAGATATAATAATACTCCTCGACACAATAGAGTAAACCAAAGATGTTGTAGTAATGATGTCGAAGATGAAACACATTTTCTTTTTAACTGTGATAGTCTATCTGACCAACAAAAAGATATGATAACAATGATAAATAACTGCTGCAAGAATTTTTTAAATGTAGACCCTATCAAAAAACTGATATGGTTAATAAATAATGAAGATGAGAAATTGTTATCAGAATTGTGCATATTCATAAAGATATATGAAAAGTTTTGATGGGATTAATCTCCCTCTTCTTCTTCTTCTTCTTCTTCTTCTTATCACTTGAACTTATTAGTTTCCCCTTAGTGAGTTCAGAGCACCGTCCCTTGATGAATCTTGCACAGTAGCAATGGCAAACCCTTGCTGCTGTGCATTAGTCACGAGGCGACCCACTATTGGGGATAATCTCATTACTAGTATAATATGTGTAGCTGGTTCTGAATGACCTCCCCTTGATGACCTCTGCATTGTAACGATGTCAAGTTCATCACTGCTGTGCACTGGTCATGAGGAAAACTACTACAAAATGAGAAACTATATTTCTTGTTCTATTATTTCCTGTTAATAAATTTTATATCCATTTTTTATAAAATCGACCTAGTTACACTAAACACTTCATATTGTAATAATATCCTATGTTGCTCATATTTTATTACTTTATTTCTTTGTGTATTGTGTATTTTCACTAAAAACTTGCATGTTTTAAAATAATTATTGTATTATGATGTTTATGTATCTTGCCTGACAACGGCCCATGATTGGTAAAATAAAAATAATGTAAAAAAAATCTAATGTTACTTAGTGACAGCAGATTGTAATCAGTGTTCAAGAATACCATGAAATGCGTCCATTTACTGTACTGAAAGTCGCGGAAATGTTGCCATTTAAGGTGTGACTTTTATATCTTCTCATAGAGTACACTTCATATACGTCTTTAAATAATGCTTAAAATAAATTTTAAACTTAAAGTCTATCATAAACATGACATAATTCAAGTTCAAAATCAACACTGCCGTGTTCACATTACCTGCTGTTTTCATTCAAGCATTGTGCTGATCAATTCGCTGACAATGCAAAATGCAAAACCGAAAATTATGTTTTAATATTTTGCGGTGCAAAAAAAGTTTGTCTAAGTTTGGGGTTGTCAGTACCTTCTTTCCGATGTATGACTGATCATTTTTTCATGTAACTTCAATACGAACAATATACACGTGTTACCATAGCATCTATTATGAATAAAGGGAAATGGGATGTAAACGTTAATGGGAAGAAACCCAAAGACACAAAAACTAAAAGGCACATTTCTACAATTGATCAGTTTATTGTTGGACCCGAGAGTATTTATCAGCTCAGTAGTCAGTGCTTCGGTACTGGCATGATGTAAAACATACTTTTATTAAATTCTTCTTTGATGAATTAAGAAATTATGAAAAAACTAAGGTTTCAAATCCCTAAAGCAAAATTGACTGTAGATGAATTTGACTTTTCTTAATACTAAGTAGGTCCCTTTAGTTCATATAGCTCCTCAGGTATTTTTATACATCCTTGTGTATAAAATTTTGGGGTTTGGACCTTCCCGATGAATATAGTTCCAGATGAACGCTTCCGTCTCACAAAATGTATAAAGGGATATTTCATTTAAAGTCAAATGTTCACGTTTGGTATTAGCAAACGTAACATGTATCAATTTTTACAATACTTTGTCGGAATGAAACAGTTACACACACAAAGGATGATGCCGAAGACGAGGATGCGGTTATTTACATTACAAAATTGATTAAACTTCATGTTCTAAAGGGGGCCTCGGTGTCCTAGTAGCGGCTAAGTAGTACTTTATCACTAGCCTGTGAGTTAGACAGCACGTGACATGTGCGTTCGACTCTAATCCTAATTGTTTAAGATTGCCAGTTTTTTCTGCCGAAGTTCTGTGAATCTCTCCGGGCATTCCGGGCATTCCGGCTTCCACCAACAATAAAACTGGCCGCCAGGATATAGCCAATAGTGCGGAGAATGCCGTTAAACACCAACAATCAATCAATCATGTTCTTTGGCAGTATGATAAACGAAGTGTTAAATTGTGTCTAAAAAAGATGCTTGTACCAAAATGATGACAGATATTTTAGATCGTAGCTAAATTGTTATATTCTGGTAGGTGTACAAAAACCAAAACTTGTTAAATAATATAATTGAACTTTCTCGATAAATGAGCGACCACTAGAATGTATTGAATTAAAAGTCTTGTAAATATTCAATATAAATGTACTACGATAACATGAACTTAGAAACAAGATGAAAGGATAAAATCAATTACATGACATATGTTGGAGTGTTTTATCTCAAACTGATGTCGTGGGTCTTTTATTTACCGTTAGTCAAATATTCAAAATTAGTAATACGGTCATCCCTGGACTTCTACCATTAGGCAGTAAATTTCATACTAACGCCTGTTTGTCTGTGCGGATGTATAAATACGAAGCCACGTCTAGTCTGAACGGATTAAAGCTTAAAACCCGATGCACTCTCTGCACGTTATATAACCTCTGAAGCAACTCTTTAATGGGCCAATAGGTATAACCCTATGCAAAGCAAAACTTCTGCCCCTATCCAACGTACCCTCATTTATTTAGCGGGACAGAGTCGAGATGCACACCCTTCTTGCAGAACCTACGTATAAGTGGTATTGTTAATTTGTTCTCGTCTGAATGTGCATGAAATATGTGTCACTGTGCAAGAAAAAACAACAATCAATCGCTAGATCATATATATATTATATACAGTATTCAAAATTCAAGAGTCCATCCTAAATTGAGGTAAATTATATGGCCTTCCAGTACCTTTTCGATTCCTAACATCACTGAAGAGACATTAATTGTCGAAATCCGGATATGGTGTACTAATTTTTGCACCTTTTGTTTGCGGTATACCATCTTTTCCGCAAGTTTATTGTTTTCTGTTTGGTATTAAATTAATAGTTAAGATCCATCTTGTTACATCTGGTGATCCGTTTATTTGGCAATCGCCAATGGCAGTCAGAAGGGTTTAAGAACATCCGTTGTTCGACCTGCTAGTCAAATGCGTTTTGTTAAAATATACTTTTTCACTTTTTTGGTCTTTTGGAAAATGTTGTTTGTGCTGTATTTAGACCCCTCTACCAAGTTTTAAAAAAACGGGTTCAGCGCGGCGGTCTTTAGTACTAACTAAACAGGGGTCCATCTAATTTTATCAAATAAACTAGTAACTTATTCTTGTCATGTCATACTAAGAAATTGCTCACAACACTCATTCATCAATTTATCTGCTATCATAACCGTTTTTAAGAAATTAAAACCACCAAGTACATTAATGCTTGACTTTTATTGAGACGTGACGCGTGTACTCTCAAAAGCTTTAGATTTGCCTACTTCTCCGCTCAGCAGCAGAAATTGAGAAGTACAGCAAGTACGGACAATTCGGGTTTATGTTGACCTAACCCGTTGCAGAAGAATAATACTGTAATCACAATAAAATTACTTAGTGCGTGTTTTCTTACAAAGCAGGATTCATCTCAAGAAAAGAACTAAAGTATCTCTACTTGATATAACAAAAAACATTGCTAATAATTGATTTCATTTGATCATTAAATTGCCCAGACAAAATCATGTGAAGTATACTTGAAGAAAAGTCAAAATTAATACTGAGATCAAGACATTTTATTTGTCGTATAAAAAGTTTGCGGCATGCATTTTGTACTTTCGAACACTATTTATCCAATCCTCATACTAATATTATCTTTAGCCGCCTTGTTCTTCATGATTTGCTGCCTGACTTAGTTTTTACATATTTTTGTAACCTCCACCTCCAATGCTAAAAACTGTTCGGGACTTTAATCGCTCGTTTCTTTTTGTTTCCTTTCCTTTGTACGCATGAAACCTTCATCTACAAATCTTATTCTCCTGCCTGCAAATCCAACTTGTTTAATAACGTTGTATTTGAAAACGTCACAATATCTAAACGTCATGCCAAACCATCGCACTTCAGCGAAAGGACTATCGCACTTCGGTGTAGACCATCGCACTTCAGCGAAAGGACCATCGCACTTCAGCGTAGACCATCGCACTTCAGCGTGACCATCGCACTTCAGCGTCCCCATCGAACCTCCGAGTCCTACATATATATGTATATATATGGTTCCGAATTTGCTACAGTGCATCTTTTTACAAAAAACGTAATGTTTGCACACACACAATTAAAATTGAGAATGGAAATGGGGAATGTGTCAAAGAGACAACAACCCGACCATAGAGCAGACAACAGCCGAAGGCCACCAATGGGTCTTCAATGCAGCGAGAAACTCCCGCACCCGGAGGCGTCCTACAGCTGGCCCCTAAACAAATATGTATACTAGTTCAGTGATAATGGACGTCATACTAAACTCCAAATTATACACAAGAAACTAAAATTAAAAATGATACAAGACTAACAAAGGCCAGAGGCTCCTGACTTGGGACAGGCGCAAAAATGCGGCGGGGTTAAACATGTTTTTTGAGATCTCAACCCTTCCCCTATACCTCTAGCCAATGTAGAAAAAACAAACGTACAACAGTACGCACAGTAAAACTCAGTTTAAGAGAAGTCCGAGTCCGATGTCAGAATAGGAAACAAAAGAAAATAAACAAAATGACAATAATACATAAATAACAACAGACTACTAGCAGTTACTGACATGCCAGCTCCAGACCTCAATTAAACTGATTGAAAGATTATGTCTTCATCATATGAATATCAGGCACAATCCCTCCTGTTAGGGGTTTAGTATCATACCGTCATAAAATATATGAGAAGAACATAACCCGTGTCATGCCAACAACTGGTTTTAGAATAAATATGTTTAATTCCGATGCAAAGACCCTATAAGTGAATCAATATTAAAGCCAAAATGTGCAATTTTTAATGACCTGACAACAGTATCGTAACTATATCCCTTCTTAATAAGTCTGTTTAAAGGTTTTGTTAGCTTTTGAGGTGAATAATGACATTTTTGTGCTTTGTAAAGAATATTACCATAAAAGATTGGATGTGAAATACCCGAACGTATAAGATGTCTGCATGTTGAGTTATATTTACGAATGATGTCCTTATACCGATGATAAAATTTAGTAAATGTTTTGACTAGTTTATGATATCGAAAACCCTGGTGTAATAATTTTTCAGTAATATATAAATTTCTCTCGCTAAAATCTAATACGTTGTTACATACACGAGCGAATCGTACAAGTTGAGATATATAAACACCATAAGATGGTGACAAGGGAACATCACCATCTAAAAATGGATGTTATTAACGATAGGAAATGAAAAATCATCTCTTTTGTCATAAATTTTTGTATTAAGCTTCCCGTTAATGATATAGATATCAAGATCGAGGAAAGGACAGTGGTCATTGTTATTATTAGCTTTATTTAAAGAAAGTTCAACAGGATAAATTTCTTTAGTATACATACTGAAGTTGTCATTATTGAGAGCCAATATATCATCCAAATATCTAAAAGTATTGTTAAATTCTTGTATCAGATGTTGTTTCGATGGGTCTTTGCTGATTTTAGTCATAAATTGTAACTCATAACAATACAAAAACAGGTCCGCAATAAGTGGTGCACAGTTAGTCCCCATTGGAATTCCGATAACTTGACGATATACGGAATCTCCAAAGCGAACAAAAATGTTATCAAGTAAAAATTCAAGGGCAGATATAGTATCAAAGCATGTCCAATTGACATAGCTGTTTTGTTTGTTGCTACTAAAAAATGACCTAAAAGAGTTTGAACATATTGTCTTTAAAGGCCAAGGACCTGGTTAAAGTGTTGCCTATAATGAATACATGTATTAGTAAAGTTATTGGAAAATCATTAAGATTTGGAGAATTTTTGTTCTAACCAATAATCGAGAATTGAATGATCTGTTTTCTATTTTCTTTATGGTCCATGGTATGTAACTGTATATCATACCTGACCAGTAGTATTTGGATCTTGGTGTCAATCTTGACAAAAATAGTTATCTTTTATTTACTGTAAGTCAAATATAAATTTGTTATGTATGTGGTTAAAAGCCGCATACTTGCATTATTGATATTTCTTATATTATAAAACAGGGATTATATGTCAATTGTATTATTCGGTTCCGAATTGTATCCGCAAGTATTTGTTACTTGTTTAACACATCTCTCCTGGTATAAATGTAACAAATGTGTTGGAATAGAAAAATACCGCCAAACAATAGCAACATTGTATTGAAAAGTAGGTTCTTTGTAAGCTTTATTGTTAAATTGTTAAATGGGTAATATTTTGAAGAGTAATTATAGAATTAAGCCAACAATAAGTTAAAATTATATATTTGTCTTACATAGAAGTTTAAGCCCCGCGTTCCATAAACGCATTTGTCCTATTTAGGTTCTTGAAAAAAAAGAATTAATACCTATAAAAGTGTTATAAACAGTTAAACTTTTGAAAAAAACAAGAACATATAGTTGTATCATCTCCAAAAAGAGTACTATATAACTTTTGAATGCACCAAATCAACAAAATGGCATATCTTGACTCACGAATATTTTAGTAAAAGGTTTTGTGAGGTTAAAGTCAATGACAATCTAGTCATAATTCTGTCACCAATCAGGCCAGCCATCAATATTGTATGGTAGGTTTCAAATTGGTCTATGTGTTTAGAGAAGAAACGTATGCACACATGAAAAATGCGGAAAGAATAAATAATTGTTAGATTCTTAATTTGTTCAAAAACCATAATTTGTGTCCGAAGGGTAGCGAAAAAAATGTGTTTCCATTTAAAATTAGGGTGGGGTTTAAATGACATTGAGTTGTTAAAAAAATAAATCTTGTTCCTGTGTGTTATTTAAAAACAAAGTTTTATTTTCAGAGAAAGGAAAAAATTGTTTATCGCGAGAAAAAAAAATTCCGCACAAAAGTCGAATGATCTTTGCCTAATTTATGAATCATGATTGAAGTGTATGTGTTTGCATGTCAATTCTAAGGACATTGATCGAGATTAAAAAGATTAGATCTAGAAATATAAGTCATATGCATGTGCCTGTATCAAGTCGGGAACCTCGTCATACAATTAAATTTTTATATTATTTCCATGGTCAGACTAAGTATTAGTCTTAATAGGCGCCTATTAAAACGTTTAAGCCCGCTGCATTTGTTTGCACCTGTCCTAAGTCAGGAACATGATGTTCAGTGGTTGTCGCTTGTTGATGTGGTTCATCAGTGTTTCTCGTTTCTCGTTTTATAAAGATTAGACCGTTGGTTTTCCCGTTTGAATGGTTTTATACTAGTCATTTTGGGTGCCTTTTATAGCTTGCTGTTCGGTGTGAGACAAGGCTCCGTGTTGAAGGCCGTACTTTGACCTTTACAAATTGTCACAGTGACTTGGATGGAGAGTTGTCTCATTGGCACTCAAACCACATTTTCTTATATCTATATTATGAATGGAAGAATTATTGAGTCAATATAATACTCCCATGGCTTAGGTTTTATCTCAATGATTTTTTTCATTTAGAGAATTTAGTATTAATTGCAGATCTTTTGATAGAAAGGTTGGTATATACTTACGGCGACGGTTCTGTCCGTTCCAGAATAACCTAACTTTCTCACAGCTGGTACAAACTTTTGAATTGTTAAATATCCAACATTTTCTGTATCAGCAGCTTTGAAAAAATTGATGAGTAATTTTTTGTACGCATCAGACACATTTTTATAACTTTTCATTAATTGTTCTTCCACTTCTTTTGTAATGCCTTTAATTTTTTCATCGGATTTTTGTTCCATATTTTTTTCCGTTATTTTCTCCTCAGTAGTCTTTTCTGAACCTTCTGATTTTGTATCTTCTTTCGGAATGATCTCTTCTTCCAGTTTTATAACATCGCTTTTCGTGACCTTTTCCTGGCCATCAGCCTTTTTCAGACCTTTTGGATTGTCTTTTATCTCTTTGGTCGTCATGATTCGACTTCCTCCAATAGATAACTGGAATGTAAATCTCTGCATTTTGTTGGTCATTCGGTTTTTATACCAGAGACATCAATCAATTTCCATAATAGCCAAACAAACAAAATTGAAGTTTTATTAGATTGTAAAATATCTCTGTTGTTATTTTATGACTTCTTCAAATTCTCCCACGTATATGATAACTGTCCGGTCCACCCAAAGAATCTCCGAAATTTTTATTTTACAAATTAATCTCAAGTCTCATAAACTCTGAGTGATAATAATACTCCACTAATATAAACCAACATGTTTGAACGGACACGTTTTGCATGATATTCATCCCTACACACAACGCCAGAGTGTCATAAGACCTCTAAGCTTACACGTTTTAACTCCATTGAAAACTAAGATAAATATCCAGTTAGGAAAGAAGAATCAATATGATATTGTTTCCGTATTAAAATCCTCGATCAATTAATCAAAAGCAATTAAAAGGTAAGAAAAATCCGACAAGGTATTTCTCAGGTACAAAGTATAAGTTTACCTTACGTGCTTATTTTGAAATGTATTTAAATGATTGATTTTTGTTTGTCAAGGATATTATATATTTATTTAAAATAATTAGGTTTTTTAAAACATTCACAGTGGCATGACTGGTCCTGATTGACTTCATTACAATTAGTTCATATGACCCTGAAATGACAAATGAAGGTGATAAAGTGGGGGCAAATTACGTTTTTAATTTCATCGAATTTGGACACATGAGTGGTTTTGATAAGTAAAATTTTATCAGATTATATATTTAGTAATACGTTTTTTTCTTCTTTTTATAATCCCCACGTTTTATTATGCAATTCTGTCATAATTCAGTCAGTGTTTTGACGACATATGGCTATTGACTATGTGCACAGAATGCAAAACAAGGTTTTTTTTTATAAATTAAAACATTACTAAATATTATGACTATATAGTTATGATCACTTTTGGTCCTACATTCTGACACCATGCTTTTATCAGACTATATATGACTTCCTTACAATAACCCATTGGATGTGCGCTTGACATTTAAGTCTAGGAAGACATGGTTTATTTATTTGTTGAAATTGGCTTTGAACTAGCCTTGTGTTTTTAACTTTTTGCTATTTTTTTTTTTCGTGTGCTTAGAGCCGATCTGATGAGTCAAACTCTTTCTTACTGATTTTTATTGTTTGTTCTTATATTCATTTACATCACTGTCCCAAGGTAGAGGCGGGTTAAGTGCTCAAACCTGTTTGAAGCCCCGGAACATTCTTTATGTACCTGTTCCAAGTCAGAAGCCTGTAATTCAGTGGTTATCGATGATTGCTATCGTTCTTATTTGTTTTTCGTTTATTGTTGTAAGCATTAATCAGGCTATTGGTTTTATGTTTTGAATTGTTTAAAATTTTGTCATGCCGGAACCATTTTTAGCTTATTGTATGGAATGGTTTTTGCTCTTTATTTAAAAGGTCACACAGTGCCCTATAGTTGTTTACACCCTTTTCCTTTGGTCTATGGTAGAAGGTTGTCACATCTCCTTGTTTTTATATTTAACACCCCTACTACAAAGCCGATAGGGCTCATAATTCCTCGATTAATATCGGATGTATCACTCAGAATTCGGAAATTAAAAGTTTACACAGTCTTAAGTAAAACACATGTGTAACTACTTTTCAGATCATCTTTTTTAAATCAGAAATTGTAATATGTTAATTCCAGACAATCCATTTAGCATTTTCTGGCATATCGTTCCTTAGAGTATTACGGAGTTCTGCTGACAATAAGTGTCATATATAACTTTACACCCCGGTATTTTGGTGGGGTATATGTTGCTCAGTCTTTAGTTCTTTTGTTTTCGATTTATGAGTTTTAATGTCCCTTTGGTATCTTTCGCCTCTCTTTCACCCGATCCTGCAATATTAGCCACTATTAGTGGGAATCTATTAGTAAAATTAGTCTGCTAGCAACACTAACAACAGTATACTTTTATACTGTACAGTATAGATGTTACCTGCTGGTTACTATATATATAATAAAATATTAATTTTCGCGAACCATTTAGGTCACAGAAATTCCAAAAAATGGCATCAGTAAGGAGAGTTGTACAAATGATGTGAATACACAGAACCCGGATCCAATTTATCTTTTACTAAAAGTATTCATCATTTTCTGTTTGGTATGTACTAACAACATTTCATTTTTCTACAATTTCGATTAAAATATTATAAAACCTGCAGTTCAATAGGTCACATGCCCCAAATAAACATTCCCCGATTGGTCGAACTACTGTGGCCTCGGTGTAAAGTAACGCAAGCCTCGATGTAACGATCACGCTTCCAAAAATAGAGGTATGTCCCAACTTAACATTCCCCGATTGGTTGAATTGCTGCTCGATGTAAAGCAACGGAAGCCTTGATGCAATGAAGAAAAGGGGTTGACAGGATAAACGTAATCGTTATGAATTTTAACTTCATGGTTCTTATGCAAGCAAATTTAATAAACAATGATTTTATACAGTTGTGTTATTGTTTTCACCTTACATAGGGCTTTATTTCTGATCTTATTTCTGTGTACACAATTCTGAATCTACATATTTCACCTATATCAATATTAGGTAATCCGTTTGGACGATTCCATATACTATTATGTTTTAGGGTTTTATAGCTTTAGTGTCGAGTTGGTGTATAGTATTGAGGGCTATCTGCGAGAAATAAATCCTTTTTTCTGATAGATTAACTAAATTCAAAACCAATATAAAAATAGTTAACACATATATTTTATTTAACTGAGTAAATTGATCGGAATGTGAATGATACATAAACCTAAAATTCGTTTTGGTCTATCCCAGTGATGACATTTGCGCGGGAATTTAGTCCATTGACATCGTAATATAATTTACTTTGGATTGTAATTATCTTAAGATGTAATGTTACAGGATTTAATGTGAAATTATTTGTCTCTTCTTTTATAGTACACGAGTTTGACGTCAGGTTTGTACACATGAAGTCTCTAGTCTAAAAAAGCCAGTGACAGAACGATAAACAGATAAGCAACTGTCTAGGGCCAAGTAAGGGAGGTGAAAAAGCCAGTATTACGCAGAACGATAAACAGTTACATAGACGGATCCAGGGGGTGGGGAAAATTTTGTTGATTTTATAGGGAAGCAGGGGCGGATCCAGCCATTTTATAAAAGGGGGGTTCCCAACTCGGGACAAAGGGTGGGGGGGGGGTTCCAACTATGTGTCCCCATTCAAATGCATTGATCGTCCAAAAAAAGGGGGGATTCCAACCCTCGGAACCGTCCCCCCGGATTCGCCACTGGGGAAGCATGACGGGAGTGGGCAACCCTTAGGTCAGTCAGCGGCCACCCCCCTTTTATGAAAAGTTGTGGATCCGCCACTGAGATTTATATAAGCAGGTTTTCTTTGTGTAGATACCTTACAATATCACCAACTGTGACTGAGTACACAATTTGATTCATTTTAGCTCATTAGCTGGGCTCACTCGCTAAAAAGGTTCATTGCGGGCCTGCTCACTGGCTAACATTTTACGATATTCATGACTCGTGTAGAAAAGCCGATAATCTATACATGTGTGTGAGGAGTAGTTATCAAGCTTGCTTTCGTAAGTAAAAACTGTCTTAGGCCAAGTTAGGGAGGTGAAAAAGCCAGTAATAGAACGATAAACAGATGATCAGGTTTTCTTCATATAGATCCCTTAAAATATCCCCCACTGAGGACACAATTTGATTCATTTTAGCTCATTAGCTGCGCTCACTCGCCTTAATAGGTTCATTGCGGCTTACCGGCAAATATGTGCAGAAAAGCTGATAACCTATACATACATGTACATGTATATAGTCAGATCATATGTTTTCGATCGTCATATGAATTTGTACTATGCATGCCTTTTCAATGGAAATTGTGACGACAGTATGCATTCTTAATAGCACGAAAAACGATGAGAAGAGGATACATATGTCAACCAAAATTTTTCAGCAACGTCAAAATATGTGAGGACACCCTATCAAGATCTATTAAGCTTGCGTTCATGTTACGTTAAAACTGTTTTAGGAAGGTGAAAAATACCAACAATATAACAATAAATAGATAATCGATATTGTAAGTGTTGAAAAGCCAATGGTCTACATATATACTTAAATATGTCAACCATAAAATAAAACTGATTTAATTTACACCACAACTGTTGAAAAAACCTTTATGTTTATATAACTTATCTCATTCTAGTCCATTCAACTGACAGAATCGGTGTACATTTCATGAACTCTTTAATAACAATAATCATCATGGACTATTCTTTATGGCAATATCTGTTAGCCATTTAGGGGTCTTTTGCATTCAAAGTTTAGTTTTAGTGGGTTTATTTTGCGAAAAAGAACTCAATTTCCAGATCAAAGTTAACATTTTCTATATATTTTGTTGTGTCAAAATGACCTAATGAATATAAAGGACAGTACCCATATAGACCCAAAAATGGTATATCACATTCTACACATGACATTTTAGCAGGAAAGACTGCCATTGGAGTATATAACTTTTAACCTGTGTATGTATAATTAAAATATGATAATAAAATTCATATCTTTTTCAGGACTTCTGATCGAACCATGTACATGTAGTATGGCATGTTTGTGAGATATGGTTTTGGTGGATAGGATGTTCATGAAGGACCTGTAGTACAAAGTATATCACTGGATTGAGCTCTTTGTCTAAGTGTATTATTAAAGTGCTTTGCTTTGAGCTCAGTTCATTGTTATGCAATTCATTCTTTGTGAAATAAAGATTTGACAGACAACTCTCATGCACAAGGATTTGTCAGGGTAGTATCCATTCTATGTACAATGTAAGTAATAAGGAGATAAAAGCATTTTATTATGATTTGAACCAAACATTTTTTGTCCTTTAACCAAATTTTAAAAAAAGAACAAATTTACCCGACAATGCTACACTCGCTACTAGCAATATGATGCTAGGTTGTTTTAATACATCTGTACTGCCTACTGATGACTCGGTCCTGAGTGTAAATGGTCATTCAGTATGTTAAAAAAAAATTAAAAAATTTATAAGGCCTATCTGGCCTAATTGATTTCTAAAACTATATTTCATTGTACATGTTCAACATTTTTCATTCATTTGTTTATTTCTTAATTTGTGTGAATTAACATTGTTACAGTAAATGTTAATAACTACACTTTCATACCACAACAAATACTGTATTGGTATCACTTATATTTGTATCCATATAACAAAAAAAATTGAAAAGAGAATAATTTTGCAATACCTTTTTCATATTGAATACTATAACTTTTTTGATATTTAGACATATTAAGTAGATTTTCATAATACCCACTTGACATGCTTGAAATTCTATCAGATTACTTTTGGAGCAGTTATGAGTCTTTGAAGCATGCTCACAAAGGTTTTTTTGTTGATATTGTTTTCATATTGGTCAAAACTTTTTTTTGCTTCGGCCAGCTTTGGAGGAGATGTTATCAAAGAATTGATAAAAAACAACACAGAAGTTTACTTTCTAGCTCATCTAGCCCCAAGCATCATGTCAGGCATTTTCATTACTAAAAACCAATAAATGTCTTCTAATCTGAGAAACAATTTCGACATTTTAACAAAATATTTTACTAATGATACTGACAATCCACCACAAAGTAATATAAATAGAACCATACAAATAGTGAGCAAATACATATAAAAAAGATGTGGTATGATATTGCCAATGAGACAATTCTCCACAACAGACCAAAATGACACAGAAATTAACAACTACGGGTCACCGTACAGCCTTCAACAATGAGCAAAGCCCATAACGCATAGTCATTTATGTTATTTATGTACACAAAATAAACGAAAAACAAATATTATGTAACACATAGACAAACGACAACCACTGAATTGCAGCCTGCAAAATCAAAGATGTGGAAAATATTCTATTATAATCATTTGGTCATTAATGCAATTAGTGTCTCTTTCATGCCCTCTTGAACATAAAATCTAAATATTAAATAAACAACACTCCTCATGCTCAGGTTGGTTGTCATCGTACAACATAGTTAATAACACCATATAGGAAAAACATAGAACTCCTTTTGTCATATAAAACACTGTCAAACATCCAAACATACTATCCACATTCATCTGTGTCCACACTTGTAGTTATAACAAAATATGTTCAATTCGGGGACATCAAAAATCATGACAAGGGTTGTTTTGATTCAAAGAAAATGGCGTGAAGAATGGCACCAACATGATGACATAAGGAAAAAATTCCAAATCAGTCACACAATATACGAGAAGAGGTAAAAGAAGGGCTTTGCTGTCTGATCCTTTTCGTGTTAAAACTGATAAGCCGTGACTTAGAAATATCGTCACCACTCAGGTAGTAACGTCAACAAGTCGGGCACAGACAGCATTGAAAGAAGAAACAAAACAGAAATATCCACATGACATTCAGATTGGTCATAGTAATCAGCTGGTATGATATTGAGGGTATAATGAAATCATTTTTAGAAAATATTAAACGAGTCGACACAACGCAGTTTTCCCGATGTACTCGGTTTTACCAGAGACGATATACACTCTGGTTTTACATACAGTGCTGTTTGCAACGCCGTATCCTTCAATTTCATTAAAAACATAAACTTGAACGGTGTATAAAATGCTTGCAAAAGTGAGAAAACAACATAAACGCCAACGCGTATAGAGATTTTATTTAAAAAACTGATTGATTAAACGATTACTCCGGAAGAATTCCGATTTTGATTCCGTTTTATATTTTATTTTAGCTCTCTACGTGTGAGGTAGAAAAGGTAAACAAATACAAAGTTTCTTTTTTTCTCTCTTTCGAAATACGCTATATAAAAAAAACAGGCAGCTAATTAGTTCCTATTGCAAGATTGTCATATTTACATAAAAGTGTAAGCAAATTCAGTTCTAGAATTAACAAATAAAATTTGTAAGGTGTAGAAAAAAAACCTTTACCGGGATTGCGGCTTGCCAAACTGAAAACACCATCATACTGAAGTGAAGGTGTGCCTAGGCTATATTGGCAGAAAATATAAAGATACAGATACATGGACCTGCTAACGCACAAATTCATTAGAGAAGACGTTTAAGAACTAACATGACGGTACCCAAATTGCACCTATTTTGACAGTTTTTTTCACCTACGTTTTTTTATGATGCAGACAAAAGGGATCTCCTGTAGTTGGTGATCGCAATACTGGTATACCAGTTTTGTCCACAATACTGGTATAAAAATTTTGTACCAGTATTGTAACTTTTTTTTAAAAAACAGCAATACTGGTACATTACTGATATACCAGTATTGTAGTTGTATTGTTCACTATACTTTAAGGTGTATAATGAAAAATGAATTTTAAGCAAAATTAGATATTGAAGATCAAAGAGATTAAATGAACTCAAAAAGATTATAGAGGATAATTGTGAAATCAATAAACGTATTTACACTTTTGGTATTAAGCTTTATTTTGCCTCCGAATGACCTTAGATCTACTCCGAATCACCTTTTGACGTCAGGCAACAATCACTTTTCAATTGTGACGTCAAATGTTTTGAATTATGATGTCAAAGTTTACTGGAACCTGTGTGATTTTACATAATGGCGGTCTATAAACAACCAGTTAAAAATAATTACTATAATTGTACAAATAAACAAAAGATTATTGTAATGAAATCATCTTATTCAAGCAATTGTTAATTATATAAATAGTTGCTAATAATTTTATCATACTTCTATAATTTATTTAATTCAATTTAGATAAAATAAAATAAAAGCTTTATTATCTGAGTTATTATTTAATAAATTCAAGCAAATTATTACACTATAACACTGTAAATTCAGCATTTACATGTATGCCATGTATATTTTTTACAGATATTTTAATACATGTATACTAAGATTCTAAGCATTTGTTTGTGTTTATTTTCTTATCAATCTTTCACAATAAACATGATAAAAGATATCAATATCCATTAAACATAAAAAGTTGCTTAATAGGGGAACCTGATTATAATCAAATTAACTACTTTTACTAGTTTGTCTACATGAATGTTAAGGGTAGTTAAAGCAGTTGATTCAGAACCATGGGCAATACAATTTGTAGCAGATTTATCTACTGGTACAAATACTCAAATACTAATACTAGACAAGCACTCCTACAGTAAGAGAGCCATACAGGTGCTATCTAAACAAGCTTGTAATCTAGTAAGCGTAAGAGAAAGTCCACAGACTGAATACATAAATATCAAAAATAGGAAGTGGGGATTGCAGAAATGCCATCTGAAGAAGAAATAGACAATACCAATGCTGATGATACAGAAGCTATAACAGCATTAATGTCAATATAAAATTCACTAAAATATACTATTGAGACTTGGAAAGAGAGAACTGGAAGAAAAGATAGAAGTAAGTAAAGAGTTTGTTAAAATGCTGAGACAGTATGGTTCCCTTAAGAAAAAAACATCAGAAGTTTTAAAACTTTCTTTGATTACAATCACAGTGTACCATAAATGGCATAATCAGTTAAACATACAATCATTCCATATAAAATTGTCATGTCATATGTTAATATCATTATGCATATATATGTGACACCTTTAATAAAAGATTACTTACCTATATGTATTGTTTATTTTAAAAAAAACACAATACTGGTACAATACTGGAATACAATACTGGTACAAAATTTTTATACCAGTATTGTGCACAATACTAGTATACCAGTATTGCGATCACCAACTACAGGAGATCCGACAAAAGTTTCCAATCTGTGTTTATTTTGTAGATGTATACTTGTTTATTATAGTTACACCAATTTAATTTTGTATCCATATTGAATCATAGAAAAATGAGTATGAACCGACCTCCAAACGATCCAGGATTCCATTTATATGAGGAGTACCCAACTTGCATCGGCCAGCTGGCCATGCTTAAATTCACATCCTTAAGAATTGAATAACAGCTAGATGTTTTGTTCCATTTCTTCAAATATTTAGAACAATTTGACATTAGTCCATGCTTGCTATCCATTTAATAAGAAATGATGACTTTTTGAGAACATCGCATGACGACGATTCCGTAGATTTACTTTTTCCAGTGAAAGCTTCATCTGTTGATATTTACTGTGAACGTTTTGTGTATATTTAAATATATTCAGCTATGTTAAAAGACATGTGTAATGTCAAATCATAAAAATACTAAGTGTTTATTCTTAAAGAAAACTTGTAAGATTTCCACAGCTGTTTTTGTTGATATGTGCAATTTGTGTACTTGGTGCAATTTGGGTACTGTCACGTTATATCTCTTCTCTACAGAGCTAAGTATTTAGTGACAATCTATTTTTGTATTGGATAATGTATCTGGTCTAAAAAAAAAATAGTTTGCCACAAGTATTTAGTGACAATCTATTCCTGTATTAGATGATGTTTCTGGTGTGATTTTTTTTATTATTTTACCACTGAATGAATCAACAATCAAACTATATAAGTAGATTGAAGTTAAAAAAAATATCTGGAAAATTTACTAAATCCCAAGACAGAATGAATAATATAATTATAACTTTTTTGTTATGCCCCACTGCTAGTCAAAGGGGCATTAACTTTTACTGTTGTCATGATGTCCATCCATACATATGTCTGTCTGTACAGAAATTGGTTTCCATTTTCTTACTTTATTTGCACACAATTATTTTTTTCACAGAACACAGATTAATTTATTAGAATTTGAGTGGCATCACTTTGACCGTTCGTGAGTTATGCCCCTTTATTAACGCAAAAATTGCTGAATCTTTCTTTTCTAGTCTCTAACTTTAGTTTGTCCCAACAAATGTTATAAAACTTATACACTACTTATTACCACAAAACACAGATCAAGTTTGAATTTGACTCCCGTCACTGTAACCGTTCTTGAGTTACATGTATTTATGCTCCTTTATTATTAAATAGAAAAAATTGCCAAATCTGTTGTGGATCCGACAAACTTTTGTATACAGATTTTATTTATTTAGATATGATTTACAAACTTCAGAAAAGGTTGAGAAGCATTTTAATTCTAGGGAATTCCAACCTGAAGCAAGTTATACCAATGGAATTGATGGAAGCCCCCAATAGAACACTGTGCATAACTGGGGTTGCAACTTCACCATCTGATACAGCATCTAGTTCATCAAAGATAACCTATGCTGAAGTGGTGAGACTTCCTCTGCATGCAACAGGTCAGACCAAACTAAAACCACGTTTGATAATAAGGTATGAAAATAATGTCTAATATTGTAAGAATGAATGGAACATATGCCAAAGGAATGTCTGTCACTTTTTGTTTTTATACACCCTACAAACAAAGTTTTGGGAGATACATAAACAAAAATATTATGTTTCTCCTATTAAGAATTATATATATATAAACAGTCACATATATATAAACGGTCGTGTCGTCTGATTTTTTAAACAGAATTTTCAGATTTACTTTACATTTAATAAACAAAGCATACATGTAGCTGTACCCGAACTTAGTTATACACTGCATGAGAAAGGGTCCCGGTATTTTGATAGCAGGATTTGAAAAAGTTATGCGATACTTATTTATAATAGTCTATATGTTGGAAAGTCATGCACGCTTAAAATTCTTTCATGAGAGTGACACATTGTTCATTTTCTAAAATAAAACAGGATATACTGTAGATACAAGACAAAATGTATACTGTACTGAACAAATCAAGCGTAAGAAAATAAATCATGTAGACAAATGAAATATACTTGGAATTTGCCCTAACAAATATTGCCTCTACAGCTGCCCCAAAGAGCCCACTCTTAACGAAATTTGCAGAAAGGGTCTTTTACATATATGTACTATAGTTGAGTTACTATCTCCCTTTACGTTTAATATGACGGTGCTGGCTATGAAATTTAATAATAATTAAACTACAAGCCATCCGCTGTACTGTGGATTCACTTATTTTCGTGGGTACCAATTTTCGTGGATCGCGGAAAACTTGCCTTTTCGTGGATATTTGATTTTGTGGTTTTTGCAAAAGTCTTCATAAACCCTTATTGAAAATATGTAATTCGTAAAACATTGAATTTCGTTGTTTACATGTACCCACGAAATCCACGGAAATTGGTATCCAATGAATAATACTCAATCCACAGTATTTCAAAGGGCTATCTGTTTCTTCAGAAAATAACCATACTTTGTGTAGAGATTACATTTTTGTAACATGTGACTGAACAACATAAAGAATGAACAATACTGTTATACAATTCTATAAGGAATCATCATTCAAAAATGTTAAAGAGGTACACCAAAAAATTAAAAAAGTTTTCCCCGTTTTCAAGCAACTCGACTTTTAACTTAATTGCAATAAAGATTTATAATAAATATAAAAATAGTAGTGCTGGATGGGGGATTTCCTTGTGTGAGTTGACTCAAAGTGTTAGTTTATTCAGGTTACACACATTTTATATTTGTAAATGCAGTTTTTATGTGAAGTGTACATATCACAAAAATAAAAGCTAATATTTTAAAAAATATCATATTTTTTGTTATCATGGTTATTGGTTAATAAAGTTATTTTTTTTTTAATTTTGATTACAGTGTATGGAAATGAAGAAATCAATTGGAGTCCCTACATTTAAAAGGAGGAGTGTGTCTTCAGTTGAGATTGGTAGAAAAAAAGAAAAAAACAGTTAGGACTCAGTTAGCATATTATTTTGAATAGTATAACTACAAATGGCCATTTATAATAATATATATATATATATATATATATAGTCATTAATAATATTATACCATAAATGATGGCCCGGAGAACATAGCAAAACATCAGATAGTATTTTGTACATTTAGTGTTGTTTTTTTTTATTTGGCTGATAAATCCAACATTGACATGAATGAAATCAAAATTTTCTTTTCGTTTTAAACCAGCTGCATGCATGATAAATGTTATATACATTTTCCAAAATAAAATGTTTATAAAATCTATGATGGAAAATAAATGCTGTATTTTTTATTCATAAATATCAAATGTTAAATAATTAATCCCAAAAAACTAAAACTTAAAATTCTTAATTCTTAATTTAGTCTCACAGATGAAGAAGTGGCACTTATGAAACAGGGTTGGTCATTGTTGCATTACTCTTTATTTGTTTATCTTTTGTTTTGCTCCACTATGCATTATTTTATTTGTTAACAATTTTACAAAGGGCCTCTCCAGAAAAAAATACAAAGCTGTTTGAGTTGGAACTACATATTTATTTTAAGATACCTACATAAGGATGATAATTATTTTGCCATTTAACCTTAAAATGTGTATTTCTGAACCCCTTTGTACTTTTTCCTGGTAAATCTCTTACAAGAATGCATGCTGTTATTGTTTTGAACGTCTAGAAATATGGCCCTATTACACATGATACATCTTCTTTCCAGAGGAATTAAATGATATTTAGATAAGATAGATATGCAAGTTACATGTAAAAAGTAAAGTAACAAAAATACCGAACTCCCAGGAAAATTCAAAATGTAAAGTCCGTTATCAAATGGCAAAATCAAAAGCTCAAATACATGAAGCGAATCAGAAAACAACTGTTATATTCCTGACTTGGTACAGGCGTTTTTTATGAAGGAAATGATGGATTTAACCTGGTTTTATAGCTTTTTTAGTAAAACCGTATTTAAAGATTAATAAGATCGTTAGAAACAAGGCAATTGACCTAATCATCATGCACGAAAGTAACTGCACGGTATTATGCTTTGGTCACTATAATGCATGGAGAGATTATGAATTGTGTCTATTTGATACAGCACTGATACAAAAAAAAACTAAAAAGAGATAATGAATGGCCATTGATATAATTTTGAAGTGGACTCACTTTAATACACATGAGCTGAAAAAAATTAAAATCTACCAATAAAATTACTTAATGATTGTACAACTACTGAAATCCCTTTACTTTTAGTTTAAGACTGTTTAATTTTTTAGTTACTTTCATTTCATATTTAATATTGTGCATTTTTAATAGATACAGGGTAAAGACGAGTGATCTAGTGTTTGGGGTCACCGAGGATGTGGCTGTTGTCCTACCAAACAAAGCTTTACTGGAACATAGTTTTTATCAGGTATTGTTGTATATATGTAAGACTCCAGATCGATGCCCAGTCTCTAATCGACGTCCGTTCCTCAAATCAACGTCCAAATCTGACGTCACAATAAAATAACATTCCAAATCGACGGCCAATTTTATGTCGCTCTTAAATCGACGTCTTTTTTGTTGTTCTCAAATCCACGTCCATTTTCAATCAACGTCCGTTTTATTGACGTGTCGCAGTGAAATCTCATCCTTATCAATGGTGGGATGAACCTATAACTCAAAAAAGTTGTTGAAAAATATAACCAAATTATAATACTTTTCAACAATTTGCCGTACGTTTTTATTCTTTCTATTGTTTGAGTCTGTATAGATGTACTGCCCTCTAGATGTCTTTTGATTATCTTTGTCTTTGGGTTGTTGTCTCATTGTTGTACAATGTATATCCACATTTATTTGTTTATATGAACAAGAAAAGAAAACGACAACGTACGTCGTTTTTGTGATTCATAACATCACATTGGACGTCAATAAGAGGGTTAAAATACTGGACACTGATTTTAGAACGTGACGTCAAATTTGGACGTTGATTTGAGGAACGGACGTGGATTAGAGACCGGACTTCAATCTGAGTCTAACATATATTTAATGACTCACATAAAAAAGCAACTGCTTGAACCCATATCAATGCAGCCTTCGAAGAAAATGCCTGTGATGAAGAAAGAAGAAAATGTACACATTTTATTTATTTTAAACATTTCTGCCCAATTGATTATGCAAAGCATTACATATTAAAGTATGTTAATTTTTTAATTCATTCTTTGTATATATTTCCACTTTCACTGAAGCCATCGTAGTAGGAAACTTTTTTGTGTTCAGAGATATGGGATATATGTAATAGTTGATCATTTAATTAAATTCATAGTGATTATTGTTGCAAAGCACCTTTAATTGTCCTGTTTGTCCAGTGATGTGCTTAAAAGAAGACTTTTTGATAGATCATGTTATTTTGGCCATACTGAAAAAATAAAAAAAGGTTTGATTGATAATGTCATATATTACATGAAACTACTGCCTTCATTCAAACACTTGGCATCTTCCCAAAACAAAAATGAAAACATTTGATAGATTAGCGATTCAAAGAACTCAAGGACTCAAGGACGTTGAACAGAAAAACAACTCATAACCAATAACTATCACGTAAGAAAATGCTTGTAAATATGTAAAAAGCGTGTACATGACATTTGAAAAAAATAAAGCTTGTATTACACAATTGAATAGGTAACTATGGATACATGTACTTTTTATCATATAACCAATTGGAATGTTACACCATCATTTCCCAGTCAATCATATTCATGTAATTTTTTATTCACTCCTTGCAGTGTAATGCAAGAAATATCTCTTAATGTGAGAAATAGACAACATGCTATAAACATGAGAAAATAGATTTAATTTTCTAAGGCTTGACACATTTATAAAATAATCAACATAGAATAAAGAATGGAAACGGGTAATGTGTCAAAGAGACAACAACCCAACCAAAGAGTAGAAAACAGCCCAAGGCCACCAATGGGTCTTTAATGTGCACTATTATATGATTGTTATAAGCAAAAAATAAATAATAATTTATGTTCTTATGCCTTCATTTATTTTGTAGGCAGAATTCAGACAGACAGAGATTCGTCATTTCAGGTTAGTTATATACATTCAGAATACATCACACCATTTGACAATATGGTAAATTACTTAAAGGATGTTTTCTACTCAGTTTCAAAATATCAAGCTTTTCCTAACACTGGTAAATATTGATAGGAGAGTAATAAACTCACTCACTCACTCGCTGACAACTAAAAGAGCTAAAATACTTTTAAGGACTCTGTTGTTTGTGCTTGTTTTTGAGATATAAGCTTTTGAAAATTTGGGGGGGAAATTCTCTCTTGAATTTTGATATCTTTATAATTGACAAATCTTACTTCACAAACACTATTACAAAATGCTAGGATGCTAAAATTACAAGAATTTGATAAGATTTTTACAATTGGCTTCTCTCCGGCATAATAAAGATTTATGAAAAGAAAAATGAGTGTAAGTGGCAAAAATAATTTTTGGTCTTCAAATGGACAGAACTAGAGGAATTCCAAAATCTGACAATAATTTAAAAACCTGACTAGCAAACATCTTTAATTAATATGGATTTAATTCTGCTGTATGGTATTATTTATATTTGAACTTATGGAAGATTTATATACACTAAAATACAGGTGTTCAAATTGGTGTTGGTCTGAGGTCCATGACCTTCCACTTACTGGTTTGGACCTTCCCACCGGTAGTTAGTTACACCCTATGTACTTTCATATATTTGCAGTTCAAATGAATTACAAAAACATATTGAGCAAAAATATGAAAATTTAGTATTAAAATGATCTTAATATATGCAACTATACTGAAAGGGAACTTATGTGGTTACTTACATTCTTTACCCTCGTGACGGGTCTTCGTACAAGATACCAGGAAACTGGAGAATATAATATTAGAACATAACTAGTAAACAGAATGAGTCTGTTTAGTTTTTTATGAATTGAATTATCAAAAAAAATTGGCTCTTCAAAAAATAATGGAGGACCTTTAAGTATTATTAGTCGAAGGTCAGGTTGGACCTTCCTTTGCCTAAAGTGAATTTGATACCGTGGATTAAAAGGACATACAGGTATCAACAAGCATTTGATTCTTTTTTTATGCCCGCTGTAGCGGAGGGGTAATTAAGTTTTACCCTTGTCTGTCGGTATTTCCCAAAGTTAATTGGCTTCTGTTCTCTAACTTTAGTTTGCCTCAACCAAATGGTTCACTTTTACCGTTCTTCAGTTATGTCCCTTTATAACTTTATATGATGTGCAAGCGGGGGCATCATCTGTGTCCTATGGACACATTCCCCATTTATTTTTAAATACATATATGTAGTGTGAGTGGTCAATTTCAATATAATTTACTTTTTTAACTGGATTTTCGAAGGAAATATCAGTTATTAAAATGGTGATGTATGGCGGGCAGCTGGGCGGATCTACGCGCGGCTGCCAAACAGTGTCAGCACAATAACATGAAAACGCTTTAACAAATTTTTTTCAAATTTAAATATGTTGTTTCCTGGGACTTAATGAAGGTCTAGTTCAATTTTCAAGATATTAGTTTATCTCCTTTGTGAGTTATCGCCATTTTTTAATCATCCAAAAGTGGAATTTTTAAATATTTTACTCTTGTTATCTTTTTTATGACTAAGCATAATGTCTTATCTCACAATAAAAATTGGAGTGACAGATTTATTTGAAAATTATCTATTTCCTAAGTGGTTATGATTATAAGCTATATTATTAGACATTTTGAAGTTAATTACATTATTAATTATTAATTAGATCTGGGTTATATCTTAGCATATAATATCATTGGAGTGACAGATTTATTTGAAAATTTTCTGTTTCCTGATAAGATCTGTAGGACTGTATATATAAAGTTTGAAATTTACTAGTTAAGGACAGTATAAATGAAATTTGAAATTTACTGTTCATTATTAGACATTTTGTAGATATTTAAGTCTCCCTAAACCATATATATTCTTACCCCCACCCCCTTTCAATTTGAGAATGTGCATTTATCTTGTAAACGGTTGAGATCCCCACCCCTAAACCATATATATTCTTGTATGGGACAATAAAACAAATCAAATGAAATATTTAGAGAGTCCCCGGGTTCACCCCCACCCCCCTACTTTTTGAAAACTTGTAAACAGTCAAGATCCCAACCCTGAAACCATATATATTCTTGTATGTGACAACAAAACAAATCAAATGAAATAAAAGTGGAGTCCCCTGGGGTCACCCCCACCCCCTCCTGTTTGAGAACTTGTAATCGGTCGAGATCCTCACCCCTAAACCATATATATTCTTGTACGGGACAATAACACAAATCAAATGAAATATAGGGGAAGTCCATTGGGGTCACCCCCTACCCCTTCTTTTTGAAAACTTGTAAACAGTCAAAATCCCCACCCCGAAACCATATATATTGTTGTATGGGACAATAAAACAAATCTAATGAAATAAAAGGTGAGTCCCCTGGGGTCACCCCCACCCCATCCTGTTTAAGAACTTGTAAATCGTCGAGATCCCCACCCCCAAAACCATATATATTCTTGAATGGGACAATAAAACAAATCAAATGATATATAGGGGAAGTCCATGGGGGTCACCCCCATTCCCCTTCTTTTTGATAACTTGTAAACAGTCGAGATCCCCACCCCTAAACCATATATATTCTTGAATGGGACAATAAAACAAAATCAAATGAAATTGAGGGGGAGTCCACTGGGGTCACCCCCACCCCCCTTTTTTTTGAAAACTTGTAAATGGTCAAAATCTCCACCCCAAAACCATATATATTCTTGTATGGGACAATCAAACAAATCAAATGAAATACAAGGCGAGTCCCCTGGGGTCACCCCCACCCCCTCCTGTTTAAGAACTTGTAAACAGTCGAAATCCCCACCCCTAAACCATATATATTCTTGTATGGGACAATAACACAAATCAAATGAAATATAGGGGAAGTCCATTGGGGTCACCCCCACCCCTTTTCTTTTTGAAAACTTGTAAACAATCAAGATGCACACCCTGAAACTAAATATATTCTTGTATGGGACAATAAAACAAATCAAATAAAATATAAAAGGCGAGTTCCCTGTGGTAACCCCCACCCCCTCCTGTTTGAGAACTTGTAAACGGTCGAGATCCCCACCCATAAACCATATATATTCTTGTAAGCAATAAAACAAATCAAATGAAATATAGGGGAAGTCCATGGGGATCACCCCCACCCCTCTTCTTTTTGATAACTTGTAAACGGTCTTGATCCCCACCCCTAAACCATATATATTCTTGAATGGGACAATAAAACAAATCAAATGAAATTGAGGGGGAGTCCCCTGGGGTCACCCCCTACCCCTTTTTTTTTAAAAACTTGTAAATGGTCAAAATCTCCACCCCGAACCATATATATTCTTGTATGGGACAATCAAACCAATCAAATGAAATACAAGGTGAGTCCCCTGGGGTCACCCCCACCGCCTCCTGTTTAAGAACTTGTAAACAGTCAAGATTCCTACCCCTAAACCATATATATTCTTGAACAGGACAAAAAAAAAATCATATAAAAATAAAGGAAGAGTCCCCTTTTGAGAACTTGTAAACGGTCGAGATCTCCACCCCTAAACCATATAAATTCCTGTTCGTAATTTCAAGAAGATTTTAATGACATACAGGGTCAATCCATAGGCGTCACTAATGCATATCATAAACCAATTTGTACTGGACATTGCCCAATGTCAAGCGACAATGGGAATGACGAATTATTGGAGCTTTGTTTGGGAGACTTCGTAACAGCATTCTGTTACAATTATTTCTTGTTACTGATAAGTTTTATAGATTTTGAAATGACATTGTATTAATGATAAATAAAATTTTGGATTTTTTTCTTCTTTTCTTTGGTAAATTGTTTGTAGAATTTTGTGGCAATTTTGTTTGTTATTCTGTAAAAACTAATTTTCTGAATGCTATATATATTTTTTTTTTTTATGAAGTAAACTCCTTTAAAAACTAAGCTTATATTGTCTAATAATAAACATATATTTAGATTTAATATCAAATCAGGGTCCAAAATTAAACTTTGTTTTATTCAACAAAAAAAAATTTTTAATGGGGTTCTTTGAAATGCTGAATCTAACCATGTATTGAGAGATTTTCGATTGTGGGCTCCTTTATCAAATTGGTCCACATTGAGATCCAAAGGGTCTTAAATTAAACTTTGTCTGATTTCATCAAAAATTGAATGCTTGGGGTTTTTTGATATGCTGATTCTAATATGTACTTAGATTTTTGATATTGGACCATAATAGGTATTTAAATGTCCAATTTCAAGTATTTCAGTTCTTAACCACATTCATTTTGTGTCACAAACCTATGCTGTGTCAAATATTCAATCACAATCCAAATTCAGAGCTGTTTTAAGCTTAAATGTAGTGTCCATACTTGCTCAACTGTTTAGGGTTCAACCTCTGCAGGAAAATCCGGTTTGCTGTCACTCTGACAGCCTCTTGTCTTTTTATTAGATACCAAATAAAGAAAATGCTGTTGAGGAACAGGGGAGTTTCTGTGATGAGAATGATACACAAAGAGCATTTGGTAGTGTATAATAGATGATATTTTTTTTAATTGGATACAGTAAATAACAATATTTTTGTATACATTATTGTCACCATTTTCAATCTGACAACAGACTTGAATTTTAAATTAAGTTTAAAGAGGTATGACATGTATTTACATTTGCACAAACAAATATGTTGATAGGTTTGATTTCTTTCAAGAAAAATGCTTTTTCTGCACATACTGCCTCTTTAAAAGTCTTACTTTTGAATAGAATTTATGTATAAATATATAAAAAAATCTTAAACATGGTGATTTGTGTTTGTAAAAAGTTCTTTTTATATTATATAAATTATTGCAGTTAATCATTCACTATTAATGTACTTTTAACATGTTTAAGCAATCTTTAGTTGTTGAAATTGTGTTTTTTCAAGATTTTTACCGTTAATCATTTTAATTTTATGAATCAAGTTAAAGAGTGTGTATATAATGCAACTGAAAACTCTTTATCTCTGTTCTGTATCTAATAATATAAATATATATCTATGTGTATATTGTTTCAGAGTGTGATGAAGTTGAGAGTAGTATTTTAACCAAAAGAACATCTGCCTTAACAACAGTGAAGGTTTTAGCGAGCAGGTGCTATTTGGTGATGTTGAAAGAAATCCAGGACCTACAATGGTATCAATCACCCCAAAAAAATGTTATGTTTGAGACTGAAATTTATTTAGGATTATTTGATCTGAAAAAAGTACTTTTAATTTGAGACATATAAACTTAACTCATTCATGTCATTGGCACTCATACCACAACTTCTTATATCTATTAACAACTTCATTAAAACCCATTTAATAATTCAGGCGTATTGGATAATGTTTCAATTCATCTTTACCGTAATTTTCATGGAAATTTTATGTTTTATTGACCAATGGAAATCTGGTTAGTATTCTGGTGAAGTAAGGCAGACTGGACATGCTGCTACAAACAGTTTCCATGGGATTAATTTAACATTTGATCAATTCAGAAATGGAATTATTTAAAGACCTGAACAAAAAATCAACTTTTACTGTCTTCTCAAATTATTTTTTTAAAATTTTTTTTTTTCCTTTAATTTCAAAATAAGAAGAGACCTTACTGGTACAGTTTTAATTTTCCAGATCCAAAATCAAAAAAAAAATGAAATAATTCTGATATAATTGTTACACTGTACTGTATGCTAAATCTATTGAAGATTATTGTTTAAAAACTCCTGCCATGATATAATCTTGTACTTTATCCATCTTATTATACATCCCACAAAGTTTTTCAGGTGATTAAATAATAGGAATCACCCTGTCTGTCTATCCGCCCATAAAAACAAAACAAATTGTCCTATCAAATCAATGTAATTATCTGCCCTTGATTTTAATATTTTATTTTTTTTTTTATAAAAAATTTAAATACGCTTAATCACACTTAATTTTTTGATAGTTTAATCTACCTTTTAAGCTAAAGATGTTCCAGTCATATAATGAATTATACTTGGTAAAATATTTTTAAACCAAAAAAGGGTATTTTTTGTAACATGTCCAAACTGGAAGATCAGAAACAAGACACCATTCCAAATTGAGTTTAATATATCATAGGAAAAGCCAGTCATCTTGTGGAAATGTGATGACCGAACGTGCGAGGGCTGAACAGCCAGTCAAGGTCGTTAAACACTTCCAGTAGAAATGTGATCAAAACAGTTCAAACTTTTTTTTTTTTCATTTAGAATGAATGTTTATTTCAATAATTGAACCAGATTTTGTGAATTTTACATGGAAGCCATTTTATTTTAGGTTTATCAAGACTAATCTTAGTGCTTGCCATACAAGTGTCAAAGAGTGAAGGGCAAGAACAATTTTAAAGAACAGAGAAGACTTGTTTTATTGCACTTAGTTTTGAGTTTTTGTTTTATATTTTACCACTATGATAGAGTAATGTAACATTCAGGAAATGTATTGTTCTGATATATCTGTTTTATAATTTCTCCTTTTCATATGTCCGTTTATGGGACGTATTATGGTATATCGTTGACCGTCTGTCTGTCCGTCCGTCCGCCCGTCCATCGTCAACATGTCGGACATTAACTCAAAAACGCTTTAACCAATATGCATGAAACCGTTTCCGAGTTTTGTGGGTTTTATTCATTAAAAAAGGAGGGATTTTCCAGTTTTTGGACAATAACTCAAAAACAATTTCACCAATTTGCAAGAAACTTTGGTGAATTGTTTATTACTATCGACATGAGCTCCCTTTTGATTTTTATAAATTTTAGACTAGATGTTTTCGATTTATGGGGTTTTATTCATTACAAAAAGGGGGATTTTCAAGTTGTCGGACAATAACTCAAAAATGCTTTCAGCATTTTTTATGAAACTTTGGTAAATTGTTTATATCTATTGTTGTAAGCTCCCTTTTGATTTTTATAAATTTTTAGATTTTACGTTTCCGAGTTATAAGATTTTATTCATAAAAAAGGGGTGATTTTCAAGTTTTTGGACAATATCCTTAAAGTGCTTAGGGCAGTTTTCATTAAACTTTGATGACTGATTTATATCTATTAAGATAACCTCCCTTTATTTTTTTTTTATAAATTTCTGATATAACATTGATAAGTTATTGTTTGTTTATAGTCTGACAACAGATTTACTATTTAGTATTGAGCAACAGCACAGTGTATTGCACAACAGCAAGAAATCTTTAATTGAACATAAATTCAATTCATATAACCAATTTCAAGTTCTTTACTTCAATGATTCAGAAACCTATAATATGTCAAATATTTAATTACAATCCAAATTCAGACCTGTATCAAGATTGAATATTGTGTCCATTTTTGCCCCAACTGTTCAGGGTTGGACCTCTGCAGGCGTATCCAGCTGTGCTCAGCGAAGCAGTTTATTAGATGTGTTTTAGATGTTTTTTTATACCTTTTCCTACTTGAGTACCATTGACAACTATTTAAAGTTTTTAGTAAGGTTACTTTCTTCAATTTGTTTATTTCATAATATTAAGATGTCATTCTTGAATACCTTGTAGGTATAGACTGTGTTTTTTTCTTCTTGATATGTGTAGTATAAATCCCCCCCCCCCCCCCCCAATTATGTTTAGTTTTGAAAAAAATATATATACCATAAGGACTGTCCACTATGGATGCCTCTCTAAATAAAGATACGAGAATCTTGGCATACATTAAATACAAATTTCTAAAAAATAAATTAAGAAGACTCCATACAAAAAACTTTGGAAAGTGTCACACCAGTGATTCTTTTTGTATAATTCAGGTTAGTTCTAAATCTCATTTTTCATTGGGGATTTTCTTCATTGCATAGAGGATGCATTTATCATCTAGTTTAATATACCTCACAATGTGATTTTTAAATGTTGTAAATACAGAAAAACATACATAATGATTATGATATGCTAATACTTCATTATTGCAAATAATTTTACTTTAGATTATGATGAATATTTAAACTGGAATTAACTATTCACATGTTATGCTCATTATTGCTTTTCTCATCACTTGTCGTTAACTTTTACAAAAATCTTCTCCTCTGAAACTACAGGGCCAAAGTTAACCAAACTTGGCCACAATCATCATTGGGGTATCTAGTTTAAAAATTGTGTCCGATGACCCGGCCCGCCAACCAAGATGGCTGCCATGGCTAAAAATAGAACATAGGGGTAAAATGTAGATTTTGGCTTATATCTCTGAAACTAAAGCATTTAGAGCAAATCTGACATGGGATAAAAATGTTCATAAGGTCAAGATCTATCTGCCCTGAAATTTTCAGACAAATCAGACAACCCGTTGTTGGGTTGCTGCCCCTGAGTTGGTAATTTTAAGAAAATTTTGCAGTTTTTGGTGATTATCTTCAATATTATTATAGATAGAGATAAACTGTAAACAGCAATAATGGTCAGCAAAGTAAGATCCACAAATAAGTTACATGACCAAAATTGTCAATTGACCCCTTAAGGAGTTATTGCCCTTTATAGTCAATTTTTTACGATTTTCGTAATTTTTGTAATCCTCTGAAACTACTGGGCCAAATAGAATCAAACTTAGCCACAATCATCATTAGGGTATTCAGTTTAAAAAATGTGTCCGATGACCCTGACTGCCAACAAAGATGGCCGACATGGCAAAAAATGGAACAAATGAGGTAAAATGCAAGTTTTGTCTATTATTCTGATAACCGTTTTATAAAAAGAGGAAATCTGAAGAGGGTAAAATTGTTCAGAATGTTGAGCTCTACCAATTATCCATATACGTCAAAACTGTAAGACAATTTCCTGTAGGAGTTATTGCCCTTAAATGACTAATTTTACCACTTTTTTTCGATTTTTGTCTATTATCATATCTTGAAAACTATAAAAGATAGAGAGAAACTGTAAATTGCAAAAATGATCAGAAGGACAAGTTCTTCAAATAAGTCTTATGGTTGAAATCATCAGTTGACTCCTTATTAGAGTTATTTCCCTTTGATGCCGATTTGTACAATTTTTTTTGCGTTTTTGTCTTATATCTTAAAACTTATAATAGATAGAAAGAAACTTAAATATACAAAAATGATCAGCAAGACAAAATCTACAATTAAGACAAATGGCAGAAATTGTCCAACGACTCCTTATTGGAGTTATTGCCCTATAATTATGATTTTTACCAATTTTTTGGCGTTTTTCCTTGTATGATATTAATTATAATAGATAGATAGAAACTTAAATAATCAAAAATGATAAGCAAGACGAGACCTACTAACAAGTCAAATTTTGCTGATATAATAAGTAGACTGTTACTCTTTATAGGAGTTTTTTTACCCTCTTTTGTGTTTAGAGCAAAAGCTAAATAAGATCATGAAGATAGCGAGAAACTAAACAGACTTCAATGATCAGCAATATAAGATACAAAAAAAATCCCAGAGATTTTTGTCATTAATTCTATTCTCGTCTACAATGTTGGAGAGTGTCCCCTGTTGAATATGCATATAGACCAAGTGAGCGACACAGGCTCTTGAGAGCCTCTAGTTTAATTGGTTACTTTTTTGTCTATTTTGTTTTATACCATAATATTATGCATGATAAATATAAATTGTGCTTTATGCATGTCACTAATGTATAGATAATTTTCTTTAAATGTTGTGTAAACTTTATTTAGGTTTTTATGGTAATGTATTCATTTACCTATATACAAATTTAGAAAAATTAAAAGTTTTATAATAAAGAACAAAACTAATTAAAACATTTTTTGATTGATTTTTTATCCAATATGTATATTAAAAGGAAAGCTGTTCCAATAATAGATATGGCATTTAAATATAACTTGCATCATATAGAAAATAAAACAGCAAAAGATAGAAAACAAGAGAGAAAATTGCTTCATCAGGGTTGTACTGTCATATTCAAAGTCACATTGCCTGTTTACAGAAGGAATGCAATATAAAGCCTGCATTGGACTTAGTATTGTAGCTAAGCATGTGTGAAATGATTTTTTATTAAATGATGACTGCTATTTTAACTAAGTAAAACTAGATCAGGATACAATCTGTGTGAATTATGTGGGTTTCTTAGAAAGGGTCTACATGTATGCATGTATTAATTGTCTGTGATTCAGTATGTTATGTCTAGTTCCAAGATCTAGTCTGAATGTATTTTTCCAATATTCAAACATGCAGCATGTATGCTGTTTCTATTGTTTTTATATACAGTCTATGCAATATGTAATGGTTTTAAATAATGATACATGACTTTATCATGTTACAGGATCATTTTTTGTCGAGCCTGCGACTTTTGTCGCAGAAAGCTCGACATAGGGATAGTGATCCGGCGGCGGCGGCGGCGTTAGCTAACTTCTTAAAAGCTTTATATTTTAGAAGGTGGAAGGTCTGGATGCTTCATACTTTGTATATGGATGCCTCATGTTACGAAGTTTCCGTCAGTCACATGTCCAATGTCCTTGACCTCATTTTCATGGTTCAGTGACTACTTGAAAAAAAAGTTAAGATTTTTTGTAATGTTAGATTCTCTCTTATTATAAGTAATAGGATAACTATATTTGGTATGTGCGTACCTTGCAAGGTCCTCATGCCCGTCAGACAGTTTTCACTTGACCTCGACCTCATTTCATGGATCAGTGAACAAGGTTAAGTTTTGGTGGTCAAGTCCATATCTCAGATACTATAAGCAATAGGTCTAGTATATTCGGTGTATGGAAGGACTGTAAGGTGTACATGTCCAACTGGCAGGTGTCATCTGTCCTTGACCTCATTTTCATGGTTCAGTGGTTATAGTTAAGTTTTTGTGTTTTGGTCTGTTTTTCTTATACTGTATGCCATAGGTCTACTATATTTGGTGTATGGAATGATTGTAAGGTGTACATGTCTAGCGGGCAGGTGTCATTTGACCTTGACCTCATTTTCATGGTTCAGTGGTCAAAGTTAAGTTTTTGAGTCTTGGTCTTTTTTTCTAATACTATGTGCAATAGTTCAACTTTATTTGGTATGTGCGTACCTTGCAAGGTCCTCATGCCCGTCAGACAGTTTTCACTTGACCTCGACCTCATTTCATGGATCAATGAACAAGGTTAAGTTTTGGTGGTCAAGTCCATATCTCAGATACTATAAGCAATAGGTCTAGTATATTCGGTGTATGGAAGGACTGTAAGGTGTACATGTCCAACTGGCAGGTGTCATCTGACCTTGACCTCATTTTCATGGTTCAGTGGTTATAGTTAAGTTTTTGTGTTTTGGTCTGTTTTTCTTATACTGTATGCCATAGGTCTACTATATTTGGTGTATGGAATGATTGTAAGGTGTACATGTCTAGCGGGCAGGTGTCATTTGACCTTGACCTCATTTTCATGGTTCAGTGGTCAAAGTTAAGTTTTTGAGTCTTGGTCTTTTTTTCTAATACTATGTGCAATAGTTCAACTTTATTTGGTATGTGCGTACCTTGCAAGGTCCTCAT